TATAGTTGAATATAGAATTGAGTTTTAAGTTGTAATTCACTTAATACTCATTTTTTCTTTCTTTATATATGTACTTAGAACAGTGCTCAGCACATAGTCAATGCTGTATTAGCGTGTTTGCTTTTATTCCCATTCCCTCCCTCCTGCTCATGGTTACTGCTAAGGGGAGAGTTGTCAAATTTCCAGCTCTAGTCATGAACTCTTTCAAATACCAATCTCATGTTTTGTCTGGCAGCCAAACCGCCCAACTACCATTTCTAAATGAAAATGTGTAAAACAGTAGTCCTTATTCTCTTTATCTTTCAATGTCTAGGGGCAATGTCCTTCTCACTTCCTTATTTCTGTTAATGATATTACAGATCTCCCAAGTTTGAAATCTGCGCACTGTCTTTCACTCCCTTGTCTATTCATTTAGTCAACAGGTAGCGTAGAGTCTTACTCTTATCTGAGTGTTACCTTTCATCATCCAACTGTTTCTGTCTACTGCTTAGACTACAGTAGTCCCCCTTCTCATCCATGTTTTCACTTTCTGTTACCTACAGTCAACCATGGCCTGACAATATTAAATGGAAAATTCCAGAAATAAACAATTCACAAGTTTTAAATTGCCCACCATTCAGAGTAACATGAAATCTTGCACTGTCTTTCCTTGTCCTGCCCAGGACATGAATTATCCCTTTGTCCGGCATCTCCATGCTGTATATGCTCCCCGCCCATTAGTCACTTAGTATCTATCTGCATTATCAGATCTACTCTCATGGTATCACAGTGCTTGTTGTGTTTAAGTAACCCTTATTTGATTTCATAATGGTCCCAAAGTGCAAAAGTAATGATGCTGACAATTTGGATATGCTAAAGAGAAGCCGTTAAGTATTTCCTTTAAGTGAAAGGGTGAACACTGTTGACTTAATAAGGAAAGAAAAAAACATTGTATGCTGAGGTTGCTGAGGTGTATAGTAAAAATGAATCTTCTATCCATGAAATTGTGAAAAAGGAAAAAGAAATTCATGCTAGTTTTGCTGTTGTATCTCAGACTGCAAAAGTTATGGACACAGTGTGTGATAAGTACTTAGTTATGGTGTAAAAGGCATTACATTTATGGGTAGAAGACATGAACAGAAACGTATTTTGATCGACTGCAGTCAGGTTCTATACTATCTGAGGTTTTAGGCATCCACTGGGAGTCTTGGAACACATTTCCTGCAGATAAGGGGGGACTACTGTATTGCAGTAACTTTCTGGTTATCCCTTCACCTTCCTAATTCATCATTATCTGTGGGATAAAGTACATTCAAGCCTTCCATTCCTTAATTTTGTCTATGTCAGCTAGGATGGATTTGCTTGCAAGTAACAAGATGTCTGATAATAGGTAGGTGATTCCTGACATCAATTTAGCTGCATAAGATGTCTGGTCTTTTACTGTCTTGGTCTTTACTTCATGGTTGCCACATAGTTTTGAGGTGATTCCCCTACTCTAAATTCATGTTCAGATTCAGGTAGGAAGAAGATAAAGGGGAAAAATCAAAAGAATTATGCTAGCTAAGTCAGCCTCCTTTTAAATATGGTCCTTAAAGAACCACCCAACAACTTTCACTTAAATCTCATTTGCTGAAACTGGTTGACATAGCTATCCATGTATGGGAAAGTACAGTTTTTTATTGGGCACATAGCTGTCTCCAACCAAATTGGAGGGAAGAAGGGGAAAATGCATACTGGATAGGTAGCTAGCAAGCTTGACACAAATATCCATCTGAATATTTAACCCTTTCCTCTACGATATAACTTCTCATATACTTCAGCTCAATAAATTACTAAGCTTTGTACCTTTCTACCTTTGTGCTCATCAGCACAATTCAACTCTCCTGGAATGATCTTCATCCTTCATCCATATAAATCCAATCCAATTTTTTTTTAAGATAAATTTTATTTATTTATTTTTATTTTTTATTGCTGGCTGGTACAGGGGTCCAAACCCATGACCTTGGGGTTATAAGGCTGAGCTCTAACCAACTGAGCTAACTGGCTAGTCAGTTTTAAATTTGACCTTCTCTAATAAAACTCATCAGATTATTCCAGCTTGAAGTATTTTTTCCCCTCCAGACACCAACAAGCAATTGTCAGAGTATAGACTTACCTGAGAAATACTGTGGGTTCAGTTCCATACCACCACAATAAAGTGAATGTTGCAATAAAGCAAATCACAATTTTTTTTGGTTTTCTAGTGCATATAAAAGTTATGTTATACTAGCAGTGGCAGGGTTTGAGAAGATTGACTCCATTTTTTTTTTGGTTCCATACCACCACAATAAAGTGAATGTTGCAATAAAGCAAATCACAATTTTTTTTGGTTTCCTAGTGCATATAAAAGTTATGTTATACTAGCAGTGGCAGGGTTTGAGAAGATTGACTCCATTTTTTTTTTGTTTTTTTTTGTCTATTTGGGTGGATTGAGTCAGAGGATTGACTCCAATTTTGAAAGAAGTTCTACTGTGGATAACATGTTGTCAAACAGCATCATGTGCTACAGAGAAATCTTTCATGAAAGGAAGAGTCAATCAATGCAGCAAACTTAACTTTTGTCTTATTTTAAGACATTGCCACAGCCACCCCAACCTTTAGCAACCACTTACTTGATCAGTCAGGAGCCATTAATATTGAGGAAAGACCCTCCACCAGCAATAAGTGTGCAATAGCATTATGTCTAGAAAAAAGTACATAATTTAAAAATGCTTTTATTGCTAAAAGATGCTAATAATCATCTGAGCCTTTGGCCAGTCCTTACCTTTTTGCTGATAGAGGGTTTCAAACTGCTTTCAAACTCCTCTTAATATTGATATTTTGACTTCTTCCTATGAATCACAAATATTCTCAATGGCATCTAGAATGGTGAATCCTTTCCAGAAGGTTTTTAATTTACTTTGCCAAGATCCATCAAAAGAATCACTATGGCAGCAGCCATAGCCTTACGAAATGGTTCTTAAATAATAAGACTTGAAATTCCAATGACTCCTTGATCTGCAGAATGGATGTTATGTTAGCAGGCATGAAAACAACATTAATCAAACTCCTCTTAATATTGATATTTTGACTTCTTCCTATGAATCACAAATATTCTCAATGGCATCTAGAATGGTGAATCCTTTCCAGAAGGTTTTTAATTTACTTTGCCAAGATCCATCAAAAGAATCACTATGGCAGCAGACATAGCCTTACGAAATGGTTCTTAAATAATAAGACTTGAAATTCCGATGACTCCTTGATCTGCAGAATGGATGTTATGTTAGCAGGCATGAAAACAACATTAACCTACTTGTACATCTCCATCAAAGCTCTTGAGTGACTAGGTGTGTTGTCAATGAGCAGTCGTATTTTGTAAGAAATTTTTTTCTGAGCAGTCATCTTCACAGTAGGCTTAAAGTATTCAGTTAACCATGCTGTAAACAGATGTGCTGTCATCCAGGCTTTGTTATCCAATTTATAGAGCACAGGCAGAGTAGATTTGGCAGAATTATTAAGGCCCTAGGATTTTCAGAATGGTAAGTGAACATTGGCTTCAACTTAGTCACCAGCATTGTCTTCTAATATAAGGCTGTTTTCTTTACATTGAAAACCTGTTATTTAGTGCAGCCATCTTCATCAGTTATCTCAGCTAAATCTTCTGGATAACTTGCTGCAGCTCTTCCATCAGCATTTTCTGCCTTTACTTTGCACTTCTATGTTATGGAGATGGCTTCTTTCCTTAAACCTCACGAACCAACTGCTGCTTGCTTCAGACTTCTGGCAGCTTCCTCACATATCTCAGCCTTCATAGAATTGAAGAGAGGGCATTGCTCTGGATTAGGTTTTGGCTTGAGGGAATGTTGTGACTGGTTTGATCTTCTATCCAGACCACTAAAACTTTCTTCATATCAGGAATAAGGCTGTTTTGCTTTTTTATCATTCGTGTGTTTGCTGTTTTAATTTTTTTCAAGAAGTTTCCTTTGCATTTACAACTTGGCCAACTGATTGGTGCAAGAGGCCTAGCTTTTGACCTATCAGGGCTTTCAACTTGTCTTCCTCACTAAGCTTAAATGTTTCTAGCTTCTGATTTAAAGTAAGAGGTGTGTGACTCTTCCTTTCACTTGAACACTTAGAGGCCATTGTAGGATTATTGACTGGCCTAATTTCAATATTGTGTCTTAAGGAATAGGGAGGCCCAAGGAGAGGGAGAGAGATGGGGAACAGCCTGTCAGTGGAGCCGTCAGAACATACACAACATCTATCAAGTTCGCCATTCTATACGGGCACAGTTCATGTCTCCCCAAAACAATTAGAATAGTAACATCAAAGAGCACTGATCACAGATCATTATAACAGATATAGTAATAATGAAAAAGTTTGAAATACTATGGAGAATTACCAAAATGTGACACAAAGTGAGCACATGCTGTTAGAGAAATGGTACTGATAGACTCGCTCGATGCAGAGTTGCCACAAAATTTCAATTTAATAAAAACACAACATCTGTGAAACGTGATGAAATGGTATATTCCTGTAATTCATGTTCCTTGTGAGATTTCTTCTGTTGTCTGTAACTGATTTTAATGTTTGTTTTGTTAGTGTTACATGTTTATATCATGGTTCCTCAGTTTGTTAACTGGAGTTCTATGTCTTGTCCAAAGGAAGTTTTTTTTTTTTTTTTTTTTTTTTTCCGTGTC